GTGGGCGTCGCAGGGCATCCCCCCGTGGTATCGCCGGGCTCTCAGGCACCGCAAGAGCGTCAGGCACTCAGGAGACAGTCCGTCCTCCGCCCCTTCCTCCAGCCCCACCTCGCCCATGTCCGACACAGCATCTAGCACCGGGTGATACTCCGAGGGCGAGAAATCCGTGACCCGGGCCGAGGCCACCTCAAAGACCGCCCGGGCCAGCACCTTGCGCAGAGCCGCGTCCGGCGCGAAGCCTTCTCCTGCCATCATCAGCCAGGTGAAGAGCACCAGGGCGGGCGGATGGCAGGCAGTATCCTCCAGCATGATGATGAGCATGCGCCGGTACAGTTCCAAGGGGGCGCGGTGCAGCAACTGGAGGGCGACCCTCGCTGCTGCCTCTCCCCGGGAGCGTCGGACGTTCTTTTGCAGGGCAGACTTGAGGACGGGTATGGGGACGTTCGGGAGGGGGAGGTGGTGAGATCTGTCGCGTGTCGGTGGGGGAGGATGTATGTTGGTCCGGAGAAGGAGACGAGCCGTCTTGGAGCCTGGGAGCGCTACCTCACGTTCCCACCACTGCTGGGGCTGCCTATCCGGGGGGCCCCGGAAGCGCGCCCCCTCTTTTGGAATGCGAAACGGAGAGGCAGCATGCGGAGCCCATGCCCAATCCAGAGCACCGCTTTCAGTGCACCGTAAGAGCGTGAAGGCCTCTCTTCGAAACTGCGTATGAGCTGCCCGCCGGAGGACGTGAAAGGCGTTCGCAGCTCCTCTCCCACTTAGGGCTGCTGAATCCGGTATGCGAGCAGCTCCTTCATCTAAGGAAACACCTGGAGAAGGGGTGACGATGCGAGAAGTCAGCCTCGGGGCTGAGGCGCGGAAGGCGCCTTCTCCCGTTGGCGGGGATTGAAAGGGCATCTGGGAGGGCGAGGGCGATACCATCGGCGGCGATGTCGTGAGTTTCGAAGACTCTGCTCCTGCACTGGAAGCAAGTATCCTACAAGCGTGCTTCATGTCCTTATTTTCAAAAATTGTGCCCCCCTGCCCCGCCGCCTCGTCCTCCTCCACCACCACTAGGCGCCGGTTTCGACCCCCGTCCCCGAGAGCCCCCGTGGGACCCCCCTTCCCCTGGCACACGTCGGCGTGGGACTGCATCGTCAACGGAAATCCGTGGCCACATAGTGGGCAGGTGTAAAAAG